TTCAAAATATTATTTAAGGAATTCAAATACAAATTATACCTCTATTATACTTGCAATTTATATTGATTGCGTACAAATCTTTTCCTTTCCAGCTCGCCATTAAGAAGTGTTACATAATTGGATTTCCACTTGAAATTGCTCGCGAGACGAGGAAATTCCCAACTTGCTCGTGCTCAGGGATTTTATTAGACCGCAATTACTCTGGAAAGCGTTTAATAGATGAGATCGCTATCAATAACATCCTGCGGCGGCAACTTGAACTTCGCCCGGGGACCACAGCTTCCTGGCCAGCTTCTTGGCGACTTTAAACGCCTTCCAATCAATATGGCCTCATACCGCAGTGCTTCGCGGCCCAAGTTTCGTGTCTCAAAGCGGCGTTCGAATAACAAGCCAAAACCCAACGATAATGTTGCTGCGGTGCGCAAAACAACAACGTGCAACGTGCAACAGCAACACGCAGCAGTGGCAGCAGCAACATGGAAAAACCGCAACAGCAGCAGACAAAAAGTTCGACTAGGTTGGGTGTACGGGGAAGCAATAATTTAATTCTGCATTGCAAATGCAAACAAATTTCAGCAAGCCGCAGTTGCGAACAAAAAATGTGAAAACCCGAGAAAGAAGCACGAAACTTAAACCGCAGCTAGTGACAAAAAACGCTGGCAAGGAGCTGAACACTACAAATAAATTGGATATTCATTAATCACTAATTCATATTTCCATTTAATTTACATATTCTACACCATTTAAAAAAATTCGCCAAGAGTTACAACAAAAATTTAAGCTTTTTGAAAAATATTTGAAAAATAATATTTAAAACGTATTTATTCATAGTAGATTTCAGATTCATTTCATACAACTCACATATGTTAAAGAGAATCCTGTTGTGAAATTTTGTGCTTGCATCCAAGCAGTAATCTCCTTGTCAGCACAAGTACTGGGTGATTTCTCTCAGTGCTCTATGAGAAGCTGCAGGAAAAAGGATAACGCGACAAGGAGCTGGGGCAGCAGTGAGTGAGTGTTTATTTTATAGCCCGCAATGGAGTTGGCTGCAGCAGTGGAAAGCCAGGAACTCCGATTCCGGCGGAACCCATCTTCCCACCTAGCCGACAAACGCTTTGCCCTCCGCCAACTCTGCTCCGTTATTATTGAAGAATTATTGCGCGATGAAGGGGGTGGGCATTTTAACAACCCAGGATCGCAGCATCCTGGAATCCCAACATCCCAGCTTCCCAGCATCCTGGCGGCACAAGTTGCCAGTTGCCAATGCTGGCGACTAATAGTGCTGAGCCCGGAGAGCACAAAAAATATCCTTGCTGCCAGCGGCGTTTGTTTGCCTTGCCTCTTCATTTTTCCCTCAATTTATACATTTGCGCATAAAAAGCAAGTGTAAAAGTTTTGCATATTCATGGCGCTTTAAATGTCGTCGCCAAGCCACGAGGATGGCGACGTCTGAAGTGCAGATGCAGCCACAAAGGCAAAAAGCAATGCTGCAACTAGCATAAAAAACAATAACCAGCTGCTGAAGTTAGTTATGTTAGATGATGCCCTAAGGATAGGGTATAGGCGCTTTTTAGATTGGGATAAGTACAATCAATATACATATTTTAAATATTTATTTCAAGAATTATGTATTTAACTATAGACTGGTTGTAAGCCAAGTTGTAAGCCATCTATGTACAAAATATATATTTTTTTTTACTTCCTAGTGCATCTGCGAATAGCTTTCCACTCATCAGATAGCCTTCAACCTTTAACTTTTTATGCTGTTGCATGCCGCAGTATCAGTTGGTGGAAAAGCTGGGCGGGAAGGCGAAGGGAAATGGAAAAGCGAGGCGTCAGTGGGGACAACAAGGAAAAAGTAATAACATCAACCATAAAAGTAGCTACATCAGATGGCAGATGGAGGCAACCGGAGGGACGGACAGAGCTCAGTTAGACGGACGGACGGATCAACCGATGGGGTTGGGATACACCATGTGTACACGTAGATATAGTATATATATACATATATATAGAGACAACTGACTGCCGCAGACATATTGTGTCTGCGAAACTTTGTTGACAACAAAGGGAAAAGGAAAACAGCAAGGCAATGAGCACAGAGCTGGGGAAAAGTGTCTCGATTTTCAGTTGCGTGATAAAAACCGCGCAATGAAGCGCATGTGAAAACAATGAGATTATTGCCTGAATTTATGTGAGCTCTATGAACTCGTACACACCGCCCAGCTCCATTTTACATTTGCCGGCGATCTTTCTCTTGTAATTGCCGACATGTCGGCACATTAAACGGCCATAAAATGGCGAACAAAACTGGCAAATCAAAGGCAACTTGTCCGCATCAGGGGCGAACTTTTCTAATTTATGGCCATTTGTGGGGGGTCTATGCATTGTGCAACAGTTAAGCCCGACTGCCCTTTGAACTTCGCACCCGGCCCACATTTACATGGGCAACGCGATTCCCATCTCCTCGGCGTTCCTCACCTGAGAAATGGCCCCGGATACCGGGGTCTCCTTTTCGCTCCGGTTACGTGACTGTGGCTCCACAATTTATCATGACACTAATGAGCATGAAATAGGACAAGGTTTATTAAATTTCCCTTTTAAAATGTGCACATGCCGAGGCAGCTGGCGAAGAAAGAAGAACAGGTGATGCAGTGCAGCCAAGGAAGGAACCAGTTTGGAAACTTATTTGGAGAAAATATCATAAATCATCAAAAATGTTAACAGACTGGAAAATCACTTTTAATCTTATTAAAAAATAAACAATTGCTTTACTCTTATTAAAAGACTATTCTAAATAGTATAACAAATATGAACAACGTTTGCATACGAAAGATTATAGATATATCAAGTCGGTCCGCAAATGTCGTTTATATTCAAAAGGCAGCTCGAACCAAGAGTGCCGAACGGAACTAGAGGATGGCAACAAGTATTTTTTGCTCATCAGTTGCAACACCGCAACGAGGACAGCAGCGGCGACATGAATGTGGCAGCAACGCTTCTTATTTTCTTGCTTTAGCTGGCCACCACCCACTAACCCAGTGGCCAAAAAAGGAAAACAACCCATCCACCCGTCGCACCGCCAAGTCCAAGCAGCTGCTGCCCGGCGGGCAACAAAATGAAAAATGTCCGCAAGTGCGAAAATGAATCTGCCTCATGTTGCAATTTATTATGCCAACATAATAAATATTATATACAGTTTGTGTGAGAAATTGAAGAAGAGGAACTTCGCTCTGGGGAGTCGTTTTTTTTTCTTTTTTTTTTTGGGTGTGGGTCGAGGGATAGAAGGTCGAATGAGGTAGCTACGAGTCCATTGGGTGTCGCAGTTACTTCCTTACTTTTTCTCGAGTCCTTCGTCCTTTTCACGCTGCCCGTGACAGTTGGAGAAATGCTCTGTGTGGGGAGGCGATGCCACACCCCACTTCAGATATTGTTTTTCCAGAATCTACTACTCCGTGCACCCGCTGCCTAATTGTGGCCAAGAAAAATAAAGTTCCTGGCTGTGCCAAATTGGGCAAAAGGAGCAGGCAGAACGGGCCAAGTAAGAATGGGCAAAGACGGCTGGGAAAAACATGTGCAATGTCGTATGACAGAGCATGAGATACGGCAATGTTGCAATGTTGAAACAAGCTTTTGCCAAAAATATTGCAAGCAACTGCACATATGCAACCATAAATCAGGACTACTGCTAAGTAATGCAGATGCAACAGAGGACTCAAAAATGGCTTACTGCTCACATGCAACCCATGTGGCAATGCAAAATCTCTATAAGGTCGGGAATTGCTTTGCTTAATGAATGTGCACTTCCATTTCAGATGATTAGGATTACTTCACTAAGTAACGTAGTGACGAAGCGCACTGCTGCAGTGTTGAAAATGTGCTGTGGTTGTATTTAAATGTGCCAAAAACTTCATAATCTTTCGTAGCAAATTAGATATCAGTATTCTTAGATGCCTTTTTCTTTAAAAATAATTTAAAAATCACTTGCATTTGAACAAATATTTTGTCTATTTTTAAAATGGCTTGGAATAGTTGACATAGACTTTCTAGACTATGATATCAACAATGACTGGACAGTCTACAGATATTTCATTTAATGAGCTAGTCACGTGTCAATTAAACGGGTCTATTGCTCCGAATCGCTAGGTTTTGTTGATCTTTTTATTCACGCCTACACATAGACCTTCAGTACTTCAATATATTCCTTTTTCTTTGGCAGCTATTTGAGAAATGTGACAATTTCGTCTGCACGCATTTTTTATAAACCATTCAAATTGTCAACAATTTATACGTGGAGCGAGTTGTTGACTGTTATTCCCTAGACAGCGGAAGTGTCCGAGGTTTTGGGTGGCAAAAGTTTCGCGGCATTGTGATTTTGTCAGACCTATGAACCCACAAGGGATTTCGGCAGCGTATAAGCAGTATTTGCTCCGGAATCCATTTCCAACGTGTTCATCTTTGCGGCTTGTTGCCGTGTTTGCTGTACTCCGATTGTTGCTGCCACAGTTGCCATGCCAGTGCTGTGATATAAGCAAATTTAGTTGCCAACTGCTTTTCCTGCAACAGCTATTTGCTTTTCATTTCCGGCCACGTCGACAAATCACAAAACAACCCGAAAAAGGATATTATCTCCGCCTTGAGCGGTTGCCCAGACATTTGGTGCTACTTCCCGTATTTGTATAAATAATTTGCAAAACATTTTTCGTTTCAGCGCTCTGCAGGCTGATTGTGTGCAGAGATTTTCCGTGCTTTAATGGTCTTCTAAGTGGGTCTTTCTCCATCTCCACTTTTCTGTGACCTTTCATCTTGATCTTCCATGTTGGGGTCACTTCATTTGGGCCGTACCCAAATAGTTGGCCGTTGTCCACTCAGTTTTCCACTCACGTGTGCAAATAGAAACCCAAAACGGATTGGGAACACATTGAAAAATAATGTGTTGTAGATATTTTTTCGATATTTCAACATCCTACACTTGACACAATCAATGAAATACGTTTGTAACATTTTTGGGCCAGTGTAACAAAGTTCTCAACAAATTCATAATGCTAATTGCCTGGCCAAATGTTTGTGCCTACCAAATTTCCACTTGTCATCTTGAGTTGATGGCTCACTTAATTCACGAGCTATTTCAAAACGAGTTAAGGCCGTGACGCCTACACCTGTAGCCAGTTAGTCGTTGAGAGCATGAAGTGGACAACGGGTCTGCTCTTGGCGGTGGGGCTGCTCACCCTACCAATCCCGGGACTTACCACTCGAAATCTGACGGAATTCATGGGACATCGACAGAAACGCTGGCTGATCTACCAGAATAGTGGGTCCTTGAAGTTCAGTATTGGTCCATCGATGCCCCTTCCCTTGGAGGATAAGGTGTCCTTCCGTTCCTGTGTGCTCTCCTACACGCTCCAAGGTGGATCCTATTCGCTGCCTAGCTCACCAATCTGGCCCTGGGATAAGTGGGAAGGCACCTTCGCCCGTTCCTTGACGCAAATGCGAAAGAATATCGAGCGCCATGTGGCCAATGGCGGAGTGCGATATGCGGACGATGCCAGGCTCCTGGTTTACACTGCTCTGGAGGAGTATATGGGCAGGAGGAACAATGACCTTTCCGTTGGCAGACAATGCCTGCTGCGCTCCATCTGCGAGAATGCTCAGATCCATCATCACATCGGTGTGTTTTCGGAAATTATGGATATCGTACTCAGGTAAAAGATGGCTTTGAATTTAGGGAATACTTTTTAACAGAACTCCTATTCTTTTAATGTAAAAATAATTTGCATACATTTAAATACCTGTTTTCCAGTACTTACTCTTAACTCATTAATCATACCTTAATCTGCCAATCATTTTAGTCCCGGCAAAGCGGATCTGGACAATGCCTACCATGAGGCCTATGCCGCGGGAAGAGCTGGAGCCAATTGCTTAGGCCTGTACAGGACCTGTCCTCGGGGCTCCAACTTCCTCGACGGGCTTTTGATTGCGGAAGATGATTGATTTACTGCTGCTCCTGCTGTTGCTGCTGCGGATTACTGTGGAGTACGGAAGAGAATGGGGATCCGCAATAAAGTTTTCAACCAAATCAAAGTGCATGTCTAATGGTTCTTGTCCTGATGTCGGATTCCGCTTGTTCTTGCAGCATAATTTGGGGCGGAAATGCACGGAAGCATGTCTGAGGGGGGCAGGAAACTGTGTTGACTCGGCTCCAGGATGAGCATGTGTGCACATGGATGCAGGCAACCCACATGTTTGAGGGTTTATGCGGGCGTCTTGCTCTAAAAACTCCTCATTGTAGAAACTAAATATAAATAAATGATAATCTTCGTGGTTCGCTCACAATAAAATAGAAAACTTGTAATATATTTTTTAAACATTCCAACTGCGTAAAAATAATAAGTTCTGGAACATATCCTAATATTAATCATCCGCCCCGTACGCTGCGTTAACTAACTGAATCAAACTAATTTGTAACCTAATACATGGTATTTTCAAAATTCACGTTATTTCCGCCGCATAAACGTGGCAGCCGCAGACATTAGTTACCTATTCCACTGCACCATCACAAGTTCAAACACCGCAAAGTTGTGCAGGCCCCCTACCCCCTTTTGCTGCGCCATCTGCACTCTGCCTGGTTCCTTCGCCCCACTTTCTCCGCCTTCACCTCCTTTCACCACTCCTCGTCCTCCGCGCCGCTTAGCTCCTTCGTTGTTCGCGTTGTCATAATCGCATTTGAATTAGCTGTGCACACGAGGCGCAGCTGAGGATTCCGAACAGGGTGCCCCGAGTATATGCTGCAATTAATAAATGATAATGATAAGATATGGTAATATACAAATACAATTACAGATTTAATTTACTCCTCTTTCTAAAACACAATTTTTAAATATATCAATTATTTCTCTATCAAACTAAAGAAACATATTTCAAATTAAATTTGTTTTTGCAACTATTTTATAGCTCAATAAATATTCAACTGATAATAAGCATAAACATGAAATATAGAAAATTAAATTATAGCAGACAGAGTAAGCAGTTGCTCACACTTAAAATGATATGCACTTAAATATTATATATATGATATTATATTATATTTTTATTGATTCCTTTGAACTGCTTAGTTATTCCAAGGACACTTCCGGTTAGGAAAGCATCCGCTGCACCCTGTAGGTAAGCCCATTCCATCCGCTTGGCACCGTCTGCGAGCCTAATGTGCCACTTAAGACGCATTTATTGTCTTTCGTTGTTGCTGCTGCTGTTCTTGCAGCACGGCGGCTGTTGGTGGTGCCGCATTTTCCATTTAATTGACGCCATTGTTGACAAAATGGCGGTTGTGTGTTGGCTTTCGCTGCACCCACCCAAGTTGCAGCAGCCACAAGCCATTAATGTTAACGCATTTTTCGCCGAGATTCTGGTGGATGTTGCCATGGATGCACTCATGTTTCTGGTTTACCAGTGGCGACATCCTCCGCTCGCAGGAGTTCGAGGGGCGTGGCGACGACAAGGGCGCAAATCACTTGCAATTAGTGTTAAAAATGCATCGCAGTACCTAGATTGTTCATGTGAGCAGAGATTCTGGAGCGTTGACAGTGAGTCCTTTTGATCATACTGAAAAGTACCGTCAGTGGTAATCATGAAATTCAATAACTGGGTTTATTAGAGTTGTACACTTATATATGGCCATCACTTCAAATCAGTTTTTGTATTAAAAATTATATTCGATATAAGCTTCGCCTGCAAAGCTCCTGCAATTTCAGTACTCCACATCCACAGCATAGGCATCCAGCACACTTTCGCCTCTTGGACAATCAGAATATTGAGTTATGCAATCAATCCCAGCCTTGCCAGCCGCAAAAGCTTCTGTGTATTCCACATCCAAACGCGTCTTACCAGGCCTATTAAGTTTACATAATTATATGAATCTTCCATTTAAGTAATAGCACACAAAAACTAAAACTCACGTGAGTAGAACGTTTAGCAGCTCCGCCATGATTCCCACATGGTAATGAATCTGGGCATTTTCGCAGATGCCGCGCAGCAAACAGTGTCGACCTCGGCCCACCGATCCACTGACTTGGTCCATGTAGTTCTCCAAGGTGGCGTACACGAATAGGCGAGTGTCGTCCTCGTGCGACTCATCCAAGCTCCTGATCTTGTCCTGCAACGAACGGGCATATATCGTCTCCCATTTGTCCCAGGGATAAAGTGGAGCTGACGGCAGGGTAAATGCACCGAAATGCAGCACATAATAGTAGACCATGCTGCGCCACACCACGGGATCCTCCAGCTGAGTGGCCAGCACGGGACCCACCAACAAACGGATGGTTCCTCCATTCCTGTAGATCAACTGATGCCGCTTCTGGCGGAGATGCATATACTCCGTGATATTCTGACCAACTGGAGGATCGACCAACTTATACGCGCTTCTGACCACTGGCAATGAACAGGCCAATAAATAAATCCAAGAAATCAGTTGCATTGTATGGAAAAACAACTGGCAGTGCCACAATAACTTTCGAGAATGAAGATCACTTGAGTCGGCAACCATCTGCGCTGCAAAGAGTAATTAATATTGACTGAACCAATTAGCATCCAAATTGGGTTATAAAGACATCCAGAAGGTAGATCTGCTTTACATTCTCGTTCTGCATTATTAATTGGGTAAATAACTACAGATGATATTCTAGCCGTGGAAATTCACAATAATTAAGTTAAAAAATTCTTTTTTATTCCAGTGTACCTATACTTCGAATTTTATTCTCATGTGTATTTGCTTAACTTTCTTTCGCCATTGTTCTGATTCCTTTTTTTTCCAATTTTTGAGAAGAGAAAGACAACAAATTTTAAGACATATATTCAATTTAATAAAAATGTTTAAATATGTTATTTTTGCCATTCCAAGCATTTCAGTGAACGCGCGCACCTGGTCACTCTAGCATAATTAACGAATAAAATAAACAATAACATAACCACGGAAATAATAGAAAATAATAGAAGCGATGAACGCCGTGATAGCCCTGTGCCACTTCTGCGAGGCGCACGGTCCCTGCGCCATCTTCTGCACCCAGACACTGAGGGACACCAAGCTGGAGGACCTGTCGCTGGACCAACAGACCCAGAAGACCTGCTCCGCCTGCAACTACTCCATTAGCAAAAATAGCAATGCGATCTACAGCAGGGACACGGAAAGCGGGGCCACATTCGTCAGCACCAAGGTGGCTGTGCTGCCGAAAGTGGCCAGTCTGGTCAAGGAGGCGGCGGTCCTCAGTCTGAGCAATGGTACGGACGCCAGCAAGGATGGCGAGTTCGTGTTCTTCGGGGATTCGACCAGGGGTCACATACTGAGTCACACCTTTCGCATCAGCGACCTGCAGGCGCGCGGCTACTCGCAGCTATTCTCCATCATTGTGCTGATGAAGGACAAGTACTTCCTGCTAAACATCAAGCCCTTTTTGGCGGAGCACTTGAAGAAGGTGTCGTCGGAGCTGCAGGCAGCTGCCAAGAAGACCAAGGAGACGGAGGAGCTGACGTACTCGGAGCGGCAGAGGCGTCTGTCCGGTGCACAGTTCCTGATGCCCACTTCCCGCTCTTTGTTGGAACTCACTGGCGAGGAGCACATCTTCGCCCAGTTGCACTCACACTTTTCGTGGCTCCTGCTGGCCGGCTCCCGATTCCTCACCGAGCACGTGACCTTCGGAAACCTACCGTGGCTACCGCCACAAAGTAGTGGCCGTCCTCCCGCACAGCGACTCACATACAATAGTTCTACTCTGCCAATGATAGAAAGCATCGACGATCCCGATCTGGAAGAGTTCTTTTCTTTGCGCCACCTCAAGAGTGTCGTGCGCAAGGAGGAGTTTGCCACGGTCTGCTACTGCGCCTTGACCGGGGTCAAGATTGTTGTGAGAGGGGATCCGAGAAAGACCTTCCGGTTCATGGTCTGCCTGAAGAAACTCCTGCCCGAGCCCATGCACAATCTGATGCGAATCGACGCCCAGCATCAACACTCCATTAGCTCAGAGTACAAAATCATATCCGTGTCCAATGATATAGCCGTGCCCATGGCCAGTAGCTCCGTTTATCGGATCGATTTTCTGGACAAGCACGTCAACGGACATGAGGTGTCGGTCAAATGGCCGGGAGAGCTGCCACGAAAATGTAAGCTTCACTGTAGTCAGTTTCCGCGTTCACTGATAAGAACCAATCGGGGATTATGTGAAAACGGGTATCATTCATACTTCCCACGCAAGAGCTTAATTAATGATTCTTCCACTTTAGTGCCAGATCTTATGGTGAAACTTTTGAAGGCGGTTGAGGAGAAAAACTTCACAGAACTAGTGCTGAACAAGCAGACCAAGGTGCTCATCGAAGAGTGGAAAAAGTATGTAGCCCTTCGAGTACTGAAATAGTCCACAACTTAATTGACTTCCTACTTCAGCAAAGTGACGTGCCTCAATCATGCCAAATCCAACAGCGTGCAGGGCAAACTGAAGAAGGTCCTTGGCGTGCAGCCGCATGATCAGCCGATTATCAACTACTGGAGCACACACCTTCACTAGTACAACTGCATACCGCACAGATTAAGGACGTTCGATTTCACCTTTTGGAATAAAACCTCTTTATTGCCGCGCTGCTTAAGCGAAGGCGAGAAAAATTATTATCTTAACCAAAAGGATGCCGAATCCAGTCCAGTCAGCCAGCCGCTTACTTCTTGTAGCCACAGCTGGAGCGGCGACCACGAGCACGCTCGAACTTGCGTCCCTTGGAGCGGACATAGGGGCGAGTGTGCGAGTGGGGCACACCGGGAGCCTTGCCGAAGTGCTTGCAGGCGGTGCGGGCGGTACGCCTGCCCTGCAGCAGCAGCGTGTTCTTGCCGGTGGGCGAGCGGAGAGCCAGTTGATCGAAGGTCAGGACCTCACCGCCGGCCTTCAGGATGCGCTCCCTGGCAGTCTGGGTGACGTGCAGGGCGCACAAGGTAAACTTGGGCACCACCAGGAGGCGGGCATCGTCGGTGACGGTGCCGACGACCACGATGGTCGACTCCGGCTGGTTGGCGGCCTTGAAGAAGCGAGCGATGCGCTGCAGCGATAGCGGCGGGCGGTTGATCTTGCTCATGAACAAACGCTTCAGGACGATGCGGTTGAACTTCTTGTTGGTGCGGCGCTGAAGGAAGCGGTACAGCTGCATGGGGCAAACAAAAACACTTATTAATCTCCACATTCAGCTGGCAATCAACGCCATATCATGCCTTACCTTGACCAGCAGGCGCAGGTACACATCCTGGGATTTGGGCTCGGTTCTGCGAACCTTGCGATCGTACTTGTGGTTGATATCAATACCCTGCAAACGAAAAACACGTATTAGAACTGGTGTTTTGAACCGGGAAAACAGTTGGACGGCATCTGGGCGAATGTTTACTACACATCCATGGCACTCTTCAGTTAAACTGCTTATTTCGTGGTATTTTAGGTTCACAAGCTAGATGCCGCCCACACAAATTTGTTGTTATTTCATTTCATCGACAGGAAGCTTTGCAATGCACGTGGGCTGGGGCTCCGCTGACGTTTGCAGGTTATTTGCCACATTCCTGCAAGGATCACTGGCACACTTTTATCGGGAACCCACCATTTCTTTTGTTGAATGTATTAATCAACGCTAAAATGGAAAATTGGACATTAATTTAAGCCAAAAACGTGGAGCAGGAATTTCTTGCACGTACCTCGCCGGAAACGAAAGCCAAAAGAAAGAAAATAGTGTGGCTGCACCGAGCAATAACAAGACGCTAAAATATCCGACTGTGCTGTTATCTTTACAGCGTGCTGTTAGGGCGCAAGGTGTTATTATTTTCAAAGCGATATGTTAAGTTTTAAAACAATATTTCTAGCATAAATTATACCATTGGCAAATTTTCATACCTCTTAATCTATTTTATACAAAATTATACCTAAAAACAATTCTTTACTGAATGCCCGGTGTGGCAACGCCGCAATTGAGCTTAGCATTAGTATGACCATTTGTTTATTCTATTAATACTAATTTTGTCAAAAAATTGACTACATTAATTGTACAGATGGATTTCATTTAAAAATTTCAAAAGGAATGTAAATAGTAAAGAACATTCAGAATGCAAATTTATATAATTATTTGTAGGAGGGTATCATTTTTTTAATTAAAAACTGAGGGCAACTCTGAGCCGAACCGGTGTTTATGTTTTTCTTTGGCCCATCTGGTCACACTTGTAATCGCATATTTATTGTTTCGGTTTTGTGGGTTTAGCGAAAAGCTTTAAATAATAATGTCCGATCCAGGAAGCGCTGGCTACAACATAACCAAAGATCCGACGCTGGCCAAGAGTCGGATCTTCTTGGGCAACCTGCCGATTTGCACGCGCGAGGAGCTGGTGAGCATTTGCCAGCCGTATGGCAAGGTCCTCGGTTCGATGGTCCAGAAAAACTACGGATTTGTTCAGTTTGAAACGGAAGAGCTGGCCAATAAAGCCGCCTTCGCTCTGCACAAGTCCACGTTTAAGCAAAACGTGCTCACCGTACGCAACGCCAGCATCAAATCAAAAGCAGCCAATGCGAACGCCAAAAGAAATCCAAATCAAGGAGCCCAGGTCACGGTTCAGGGCGGCATTGTAATGTCAGCGGCGTCCGCGGCCGCTGGTCAGCCCGTCATCAACGATTGCGAGATTATAGTCAAGAATCGCGAGAATACGTGAGTTATGGCCCATATTATTCGAGTTGCGATGTTCATACACTTTGTAACCCCTGCAGCAAATACGCAGAATACATTGAGGAGCGGTTAAAGAATTCCAGCCTGCGGGTGGACGTCCTCTTTCCCAACGAGGACGTCTTGCTGGGCAAGGTCCTGGCCAATATCTCTTCGCGCGGCTGCCTGTATGCGGTCTTAGTCACACCCCAACACGAGGAGCACAACAGCATCACAGTAAACATCCTGTATGGAGTACCCGCTGAACATCGTAACATGCCGCTGGAGGACGCCATCACACTGATTGCCACCGATTTCAGGCTCAAAAAGCAGCGCGACGCTGTCATCTTACCGCCGGCACCATCTATACACAAGGGACAGCGACGCCATCCGGAGCAAATGCAGGAGCTGCTGGAAAGGCTGGCAGACAATCATCCATTGACCGCGTCGCAGTACGAGGTGATTCTAAAGTACCTCGAAGGCGAACGCGAGGAGCAACTGAAGCGAGAGGTTGGCGAGGCCAATGCTCTGGCTAAGCTCAAAGCACCCGATCCAGAAATTGAGCTTCAAAAGAAGATCCTCAGCATCATGAACAAGCCTCCAGTGACCGAGATCACCAATGAGCTCCTGTATCCCACATTTGAGGCAGTCAAGGAGGACAAGAGGCTAATGGAGCTACTTGCTGATGATCGAGTAATGGCGGCCCTGGAAAGCGTTTACAACTCGGATCTTCGGCATACCTTAGCCGAGTTATTATAAACTCTGTACATATTAGGATTAAGTAATTTTAAACGCAGTGCCGTAGAGAATGATTACGGATTCCTGGCATTTAGTAAATGTAATACCTACTACACATATGTCACGCATAACTTGGGTTTTAAGCTGTAGCAGGCGTTTAATAAGTGTAAGACATTAACAACTAACAAGCGGCTGTTTCTAAGGCCATGATCGCTTGGCCTCGTGTCCCTCGTACTTGCCACGGTACTTGAGACCGGTAACCAGGGTGGAGCTCTTGGGGAAAGCCGTTTTGCCGTCGAATTTGGTATCTGTCTCGGGATGGAATCGCACGTACTCGTACTGGATGTGCAGATTCTCAGGCAATTCTATGCGCTTCAGTACATCCAACGGCACGGTTGTGTCCACAGATGTCTCGTAAAAGGCGATAACGTCGCCGATGGTGCGCAGTTCATGAACTTGGGAATTGGGCACTCCGTGTTGCAGCTCCTGGAAGCACGCGTTCAGGAACTCGAATTTCTCGGAGAGATTACCCAGCTGATCGGATTTCAGTTGAAGCGAGGCGGCTACAGTTCGTATACGTTCTGCTGCATCTGCAGGTGGAGAGTACGGCTTGTGAGGACGCAGGAAGCTACAATCAGGAAAATATTTACTTGGTTTTGAGGTAAATAAATGACAAGTGCTTACCCCTTGGCGGCAATGGATTTACCGACAGCTGATATAGAGCCGGTTTTGACTGGCTTTGCTTTTGCGGCCTTGGCGGCGGAGGCAAAACTCCTTTGCAGTGTTCCCGCAAGCTAAAATTACGGTTGCATTGGATGTTAATTGAAATTTTTATTATTTTTTACTTACAATTGGGGTTTTACGTAAAATCGCTGCCATCGGATGTGACCAGATTAAAAACACTGAGGCATGACAGTTAAGACTGACAATATATTTGGAAGTCAGCAGATGGTAACACTAAAATACTGCACTGAGCGTTACCAGATGGTTTTTGTGTTAACCCATTGTTCAATTTATAAACAAACTTAAACAATTACACTGTATTTAGTATTGATATTTATGCACCATTTATACAGCTTTTAAATTTATCTTAAAATAAACTTTTTTTTTTTAATATTTCACTGTAACGAACTACCCGTGATTGATGGTATTTTAAAAGGATGATATTACTCCATTTCAAGTTAAGAATTTATTTATTTATGTTCAATAAATTTACAAATTATAACATTGATAAATTGGGTGGCAGCCCTAAGCTTTTTCGATAACAAGGTCCTGTTACTCAATTCATAAAATCCTGTTATCGCGCTAACTGTAAGTTTTTTTGTAATATTGGATCGAGTGATAGTTTAAACAACATTTTTGTTATTTCCATAGTATAAAACGGAATGGATAGGATAACAGTCACCCCGAGTCCAGCCTCCACCTACTGCTCCTTGGTTGGGGGTTCCCAGCACTCCCCATTACGGCGATCACAGCGCCTGATCGACAAGGAAAATCGCGATTTGCCGAAGATTCCGCCCAAAAGTCTTTCTCCTCAATTGTTTGGAAACACTGAAGATGATTACAGTGAACTCTTGCAGCACCAAGAAAAAGTGGTTCACTTGAAGCCGGCAGCTAAGTTAGTGCACCTGAGATCCTCGGCTGATCTTCGATCCCCAGCTAAAGTTCTCCAATTGAAACCTTCGAATAAAATCGTCCACCTTAAGCCATCGGATAAGATTGTCCACTTAAAGAGGTTAGATGATGCAAAGAAACCCGGAAAGAACACTCAAAAAAGAGATCCTCCAAGGAATTCACAAAAGAGGAGCACGCAATGCACTCCCAAAAAACGTGGCCGAAAACCAAAGCAAACGGCTAAGGAAAAGCCCAAAAAACTGCAATCAAGTATTCCGAACGATCATCTAGGGAACACACCATCGCCATCGAAGCTGCCTGCGAAATATCCAGCACATTTTGTTCATCAACTTCCGCCCGCAGTAAATGCCAGTTCTGCCGTTCGAAGTCGTTCCTTATCTGCTCCGGCTATGGAATTCCGCGATCTGTGCCTCACGCACGATGAGATTCAAACGGCGGAGCCACATGGTGAAGTCATAAACAAATCGCCATCGGATCTCGACTCCGATGTCTCCATGAACATCTCCCTGTCCGATTCCATTGGCGAAATCTTCGGCACCAAGGACATAAGCAGCATTCTGACCATGCAGCGACCACGTCAGTATATTTTGCTGGAGGAGCACCTGCCCACATTGGCAACCATGCTGAACGTGGACTTGGAGCGACTCCGCAGTGTCCTGGAAATCACCCAGGGTTTAACCCACGAGCAGATCCTACGCTTTCCGGTAAAACTAGAGGAGGAGGAACGGGAAGTATCTTAAAAATGAGTGCCCTATAGGTGAACACACGAAATGTTTCCACGTTGCATAGTTTTAATGTGATCATTCCCATTGATCAAGTCCAAGCTCAAGATCCTTAAGATCCTTGTTGCTATAACTTAACATTTAAAATGTATCTCGATTCTTTGTATATTTTTAAGTGGTATTTAATTATTGTTGTTTTTTGTTGTTTGTTTTTTTGTTATTTTGCCTTAGACTTTCAGAGTGCACAAGTTTTGTTTAAACCATTTACTTTGTTGTATATTTTAAATTACTAATGCTAAACGTTATCTAGACTTTATTATACTTCATAATTGGTTTCCTTTCCTCTACGACCATACAGCAGCAATCGATCGGGGTTTTTGTATCTGTTACTAAGTTTTCCTTTGTTTACTGTGTTTCTCTTTAATGTATATACAACCGCGTGAATTTGGAGGCGCAGCTCCCTAGTAGTCGCTGTCGTAGCTTCCGTCCTGCTGCGCCTGCGTGGAGTCATCGGAACGCTCCGAAGTTGGCTCCAGATCAACGTCCAGGGCCGTAGTGTTGGCCGGACAGCAGCTGGGATGGGCCATGGAGTCGAAGGCATCTTTGATTTGATTGTTGGCACCCTTGGGATCCAGGTCGGTGGCCCAGCTGAAGTGCATCAGCGCCAGATCCATGTTGCCGAGCGTCTTGTGAATTTTGCCGATCAGATAGAACACCACCGACTCCTTGGGCACGACTTCCTTAAGCTCCTCCAGTTCGCGCAACGCCTCCTGGTACTTGCCCAAAGAGAAGTAGATGGAACCGCGATGGAATCGCGTAAGCGGGTTCTTGGGGTCCAGCGTGGCGGCCGTGTTTAGGGTCTGCAGCGACAGATCCTTCTTCTTCATGTAGAATTGCATGGCGCCGATGTGGACGAGGATCACCGAGTTCTGCGGATTGATTTTCAGTGCCTTCACGTAGTGAATTTCAGCCAGCTCATACTTCTCCTGCTTGGAGTATATGGTGCCGATGCCGTACCAAGCGTTGTAATGCCGTGGATCTCTAACCACTGCGGCCCGGAAGTAGTCCATGGCCTTTTCAAATTCTTCGGTGAGTACGAGCTCATGCCCCAGCAGTGTGTAGCTGTAGACAAAGTCTGGATCCACTTGGACAGCCCGTTTAAAGAACTTAATCGCTGTTTCGTGCTCCTTTTGCAGGGAGAAGCAATTTCCGGCCACACACCAGGTCACCGGGCTAGTTTTGTCCTGGTTAATCAGATCCTGGGCGAGAGCAGACAGCTCCACTTCACGCTGCAGATGCCACAGAGATGACGAGTATATCTCCATGTAGTCCAAGCGACATGGCTCTGCCTTGTGGATGCTTTCAAATATCGCCACCGCCGCCTCATACTCGCGCATCTCGTACCTGGCCAGTCCGATGAGCGACTGCACCCAGCTGGAGTTCAGGTGGTGCTTTGGTATCGTCGTCTCTAGCTGCTTTATGGCCGCCTTGCACTGGAAGTTGGAAAGCAGCTGATAGGCTTCAGCCAAATCCCGCAGAAGGGCCATCAGCCCATCGGCCGACTGTTTCTTGAGGCCCATTAGCTGGTGGGCCATCGTCTGGGCGTTGTTTAAGCTATTGTTCAACAGTACTTTGGCCTCCTCGGCGGCACTGCGGCCACCGCTGTTATTATTCGCTCCCGAGGAAGTAATAGTCTCCACCTTCTCCTTGCGCTTCTCGGACAGGTGGTGGGACTTCTCCTCGATCAGTTCGTTATTCAGGCAGATCTTGGTCATCCGTGACTTGGTTTTGCGGGGCGGCGAACGTGGCTGCACAAACTTGTTGGCTATGTTGGGCGATTTATTGTTCTCCTTCACCGAATACGAGTTGCTGAACAGCCGCGAACTGCGGCGCACTGCAGCATTCGGATTGGGCGGCACATTCATATTGCCATTGTTGCCCACATTATTGTTGTTTGGGGTGCGGGGCGTTATGTTACCGGCTTGCGTAAAGACGGCGGGTTTGTTAAGGCTGCCCTCCTTGCGATTGATGAGTCCGCCCACATGTGTCTTAAGCTTTTTGCCCATCATCTTCGGCTCCTGATTGACCTCGACCAGCATCTGCGGCATCGGCGAATAGGTAATATTCATAACGGGCGTGTGGTTGCCAATGAAGGAGCCATCGTTGCCGGTGCAGGGACTAGTCAGTGGCATGATGCCAAAGCTCGGAGTTGGCGGTGAGATGGCTGAAAGGTATTTGAACTGCTTGCGGAAGGGTGTGCCGCTGCTCATGTCGTAGAGCTGCTGGTTCTGCTGATGCTGACCGGCTGTGTCCTGCGGATATCCCATAGGTGTGTCCTCCAGCATCGCCAGCATGCTGGAGTTTTGCACCAAACCGCCGCGCAGCATGCTGATCGAGCTATTGAGATTGTTGTTATTATTATTATTGTTGATGGGCGTCACCATGTTGCTGTTGTGGTTCTGATTCTGGTTGATCTGCTGCACCTGCTGCTGATTCTGTTGTTGCTGATCAACGGGCGTGGTCAGAATGTAGTTGGAGTTGCTTAGGTTGGTGATCAGCGACTGGCGCTCCTGATGCTGTTGACTTTGCTGCTCGGCGCCGAACAGCACTATTGCATTGGCATTGGCGCTGCTGCCTTGGCAGGTGTTGAACACATCTGTGCTGTGGATCTGGAATATGGTCGCCGCATCTGTGTCCTGGCCCAGCAGGCACAGATCAGCGAAGGCGTGCCACATGAATGGGTTCAGCTTGAGGGCCCGCCTTAAAGCACTGACGGCCAGTTTGTTGCGCTCGGTTCTCACGCATATCTGGGCCATTAACTGATAGGCGAAGCAGGCCAGATCCCCGAAGTCCCGCTGCAGTTCATCGCAGTTCTTGGCGTCCGCGAATCCCGTAGAGATCAGAACGCTCTCCGCTTCGGCGTATTTCTTCAGCTCGTAGGCGCATTTGGCCTGTAGATAGCGACACTGTGGCGAGCGTAGTGCCTTCTCTTTGAGCAGCCAGTATGCCTGGTGCACCTGATTGGAGCGGAAGTAGCTGGTGGCCAGCAGGAATATCGTCTCGTCGCTCTCCACTGAAAAGACACAATGGAAAAGAAAATCAGTGATGTACCCGGCCAACCAAAGGAGACCTTGACCTATACCTTCTGAGCACAGTCGCTCCGCCAGGAAAACAGCATCCTTGAAGTTGTAGTAATTCAGGCAGTGCCATATGGCGGCCTTTTGGAATGGAAAAAAAGAGAGAGCATTTGGTTTTTTAGAGGCCAGGTGGACCGAGGAGCTATTGATTTACCTGCACGGGCTCTTGAATCATCATGTATGGGCGGTCTATGCGACTTTCTAGGGGCGCTCTATGGTTGTGCGTGCTTGTGGCTTCACTGTGATTCTTGGCTTTCAAGTAATTCAAATATGCACGGTGTAGAAATCAAACAAATTGTCATGTCGCCACTAGTGCACGCTTCTTTTTATATATAAATTTTTTTTTTTTTTGGCAAATTTTCCCCAACAATATCGGATCCGAAAAGTAAAAGTTTGGTCTGTGTGCTGTATGGTATGTGAATGTGGTATGTAACCCGATTGCGGATGCGGCGATGCAAGTGGCGATGGCGGTATCTCTCGCTCCCTGGCCACTCCACTCCACCTTCCACTTCCACTTTTTTGATATTGCAATTGGTTTGAGTCGAGCCTTCGCTTCGCTTCGCCCTCTGTACACACACACTGCGAATGGGGGTCGGTTTTCTACAATCGTTTTCGGAGCTTATCTGTTGTTATAGGCGCACACGGTGCTGATCTGCGATTGGCGGCGACACTGGACTAAACCTTGGCCACATTTTAGCTACTTGAAACACGCTGCATTCGCATTGCATTCCATTTTATTTTAAAACCCAAAACTAAAATATGTGAGAGCTGTCAAAGTATCGATTGCACGCGACACTGCCAATCGATTGTTTCTGTGGTTGTGGAAGACCGTATTGTAGTAGCGCGAAAATACCAACGCTTTTCACGAAAGCCAGGGCGAGTGTTGATAAGCTATTTCCACTAACACTTAACTTTACATCTGCCACAATTTGAAATTTTTTAAATACCAATTCAACTATTTGTGTATCCCAGCACAAATATATAAAACTAGCCTATCTTATAGAGCGCTTTTATTAAATACCTATTACTACTTGCTTAAACGAATTTTAATTATAGTTGTGCATCCCAAATCTACTGCGAATCGCTGGAGCTGGAGCTTGAACTATCCGTGGACATGACCTCCACATCGTCCTGGGCGCGCGTCTCCAAGGCCACTGTGTTCCCGGAGGCGCCCATGGTCATGTGCAGCTCTCCAAGATTCCAGTTGAACTGATTCTGGAAGGCATTGGGCACCTCGCCGCCGGCGCCACTGCCACTCCCACTTCCTGCGCTGCCGGACAAGGTTCTCTGCTGCTCCGAGGGCATGCCACTGTTCTGATGGGTCACTGGACCGCCGTTGATGTTTTGCTCGGATTTTCCCAGCAGACCGTTGCGCATCTCAATGTCCGTTGGATAGGGGCGCCGTAGGTCGCCTATGCACCAAGTGAGCGGAGCACTGACCGCATTGGCAGAGCTAATCCGATGTGCGTATTTGATGAGCTCTTCCGAGGAAACCGGTCGTTTGTTGGCTTGATTGATGCTGGCCAGTTTCTGGCGTGCCTGGAAGATGGCCGTGGACAGAATGAGCTCCGCATCCTTTAAGGACTTCTGCAGCTTTTGGATCTCACGGTCCTGATGGGGAAATCCAGTTTATAACTGATTTTTGGGGCGAATACAAGACATCCACTTACGTGCACCTCGACCTTGGCGCGCAGTTTGTCCATCGCCTCCTCCACTTTGGCCTGCTCGTCCGCCAATTCCAGCATTTTGCGGAACTCTTCATCTTTGGCCACCAGCAAATCCAACAGGTCCACCAGTTCGGTGCTGGAGATCTTCTGGTGCGCCTGCTCGATCAATTCCTTGGCAATCATTTCAATGTCGTCGATCAGGAGCAATAGGCGCTCCTTTGTGCTGAGGTGAAACGACATTATCTCGCTAATTCGTTTGGTTTAAACAATAATTGCAAATTGTTTATTTTCCACACCGCAATGTGGCTGTTGTTCGATTGCTAGAATATACCTTCTAGTATTTTATTTTTAATAATTATTCTGTAAATAGGCCCCGAAAAATACCGCAAATGTTGATGTTGCCAGACAACAGAGTTGCCACACGGTTTTTTTTTATTACACTAAAGCACAGGAAATTTAAATGACAGAGCAAATTCGCCGTGTTTTCTCTAGTAAGTATTATTTGCTTGTTTATTTCTCATGTGTTACAATTGCAGTTACAATTTTAGCATAAAACTCTCTTGTTGATTATGGCAGATTACAATACTCTGTTGTATCCTCTCGTCTCCCTTCAGTTTCTCACTTAAAACATACAAACCAGCAAGCAACTTGCAGCAGGTACGTTGAGGGGCCTTGTTAATAACCGTTTAGAACTAGTAGATAGTCTTACAATTAGTTAAGATATAAGTGGTTTATATGTTGCTATTGATATTTCTTCGCCGGCTGGAAGGATCCCCTATTATCAAACCGCATGTGCATAACAATCAGTATCAGTATCGCTGGCTCTCGCGATCCGAATATTTTCCACTCAGCTTGCTGACCGAATAGCGATCCGAGTAGGCATCATATTTATCCGCCTTGTAGTTGATCTCCTGCGGCGTATACCCGATATTCTTTTGCCAATGCCGCGTCCAGTAGAGATCCTCGTTTCGCACCTGCGACGGCGTCTTCGCATCCCGGAACACATACACGCAGTAGATCATGCAGCCGATCAGCGTGAGGAAGCCAAAGACCAGGAACACGATGCCCAGTATCCACACGTACAGTGGCTCATAGAACTGCACCACAATCACGAATCCCAGCGTCACCAGGATCAGGCCCAAATTCAGCAACAGCATCAGGCAGCACACGCCCTTGACATTCGGACAAAATGGATTCGGTGCGGACATCGTCTCCACCTTGGCGCCTCTCCGGGTCGTCGAGCGGGCACTGCGTCCGGTTTTGGCCGTACTGGCCACCGAGTAAACACTCCGTGGAGCTCCTCGGGACACTGGGCGCTGGCTGTAGCGACTGCAATGGAGGTAGGTCGATTAGTTACTTATTACTGAATACATAGAGCAAAACGTTATAGCTGAGTAACTGGTATCTGATAGTCGAGTTGGTTTCTATGCTAACATTAAGCATTGGAGCCACGCACCTGATCTCGGAGGGCGCCTTGTAGGCGGCACTGGTCACATAGATGTCGCTGCCCGCGTCCCCAGCCTGGTCGTAGCTCAGGGCGGACGGAGCACGCGGTGGCTGTCGCGTGGGCGGCGGTCCGCTGAGGGAGCGTGGTCCTCCGTTGTCCGGCGAACTGGAGAGGCCCATCTGACTGTGGCTGTAGCTGCTCTGCAGGTGCTGGTTGTGGTGGTGGCCATTCGAGGCGGAGGAGGAGCGCTTCTTGCGCGACCCATTGTACTGCGGCGAGATGCGCTCGTGGGTCAGCGTGTACTCCGAGTAGGTGCGCTCCGAGGGTGCCCGGTGGGAGTGGGTCTCATCGCCGTCCGTGGAGTAGCCCCGGTTCGAGTGGACGTAGGGCGGGTCCGGAGTGAGGCGACCGTGCGTGGCCACATAATGGCTGCCCTTCAACCTGTAATTGGATCGCAGAATGTTATCGCCAATTGGCCGCTAAGTGGCCCATCCGCTACTCACTTCTTCACTTGTCTCTCGTGCATCCTGTATCTTTTGCACCGGCTGTATCTGTATCTTTTGCTGGCTCTTCTCTGCGGCTGATTGACTGCTAATGGACCCGACTAGCAATTCCTCGAGGTGCCTGCCAATGGGGAAGTAAAACAAACACACGATGAGCTCGACTTCATGGCAATTAGGTTTTGGCCCCACTTTATCGGATAGCTTAGAACTTTTAATTAGAGCGATGAAAGTTTCATTCGACTGCTGCCATATTCAATAAAATAACTGGTTTGTTTGAATTTCACAAGCGTAATGTAAAGTTTTATGGCTCTGTGTTCTGTGTTCTACGCTCGCAAAAGTTGAATAGTTAAATATATATTGAAAAAGAACAAAAACTCAGGAACACCACCTGGATCGTACAAATTTCAAGCAACTCCAAACTCCAACAGTAAAATGACAAAAATGTTTTTTAACTGAAAAACTTTTTTTTTCAAAATAGGTTACCTGAAAGTAATGGGATACTGCTTATCAAAGTGCAGCAGTTAATTGAAACCTGAGACAAAGGATCATAAACAAAAAGGGTATTTCGATAAGCTGGCAGTCCATGGAGGTGCCGAGAATGCCATTAATTCCCTTTTGCAATCAAAACAGACCTTAAACTTCCTTTACGCCTTGCATAACTTATATCAATTTATGGTATCTGAGCAGAGGACACACCCAGCTTAATGATTGCAATGACAGTTCGTTGCACTTTTCTGTTAAAATCGCCCCCATACCCCAACTCCTGGCCATCAAGAACACACACCGCAGGCACTCAGCAAAGTTGGAGAAATTTGTTCGTTCTTTCAAGTTCATGGCAGAGAAATTGAAGTTGCCCGTCCTTCGCAGCCATTCGCCATTCGCCGTTCGACATTCGCCTGCAATTTGTCACTTGGTCACGTAGTGCTCGGTTCTGGGTGCGTCACTCCAACCCAACCGAGGTGACAGCTGATAAAAGGGAGCGTCAGCGGGTTAAGGGCAAACTGGTTCCATCGGCCGCAAACTTAATCTCAGTCCGATGATGTTCCCATGAATTTGTTTACGCACCCCGGTAGGCTCACAAATCAGCATTTTTATCACACTCGAATATGTCAATCAACAGGTAACATATTTCAGCAAAACAGAGCTTTTACTATGCTTAGGCATGTAATCATGCCTGATTTTCCTCTGTGTATCATTAACCCCTCGCCAAAGCTGAGCTCTATTTATGACACTCGAATATGTCAATCAAAAGTAGCCATATATTGCGAACTCCTCGCTTTTAGGTGTTTTTGCTAAGAATTTTAACGAACCTGTTCGAGAATTCTGCCCATATTATGCCAGCCTCTTATTATTAGCATATTGCTTTGAAGAAGTGTAGCTGATACAACTGCTACGACTGTGTCAATCAGGGAAAACTCTAATCAGATATGTATATTTATTTTTAACGAATCTGCCGGGCGAATGAGTTTATAATTTACCAGCTTCTTTTTCGCAGCATATCATTAACGCCAATGGCAGCTGATAAAATTGAGTTATTGCCTCGATTAGGCCAATTAAAGGGTGTCGTTATCTGTGTAAGATGGCCAGCTGGGATGGGCTGGCTCCTACGGCTCCTCCTGCTCCGCCCCTCAATCCTCCACAGAAACGGACCCCTTTCTCAGAGTTTCGCGGCCAGCTTTCTTATTATTTCAGCTGAAGCCAATCTCTGAGTGCATTTACATTTGTGCCCTGCCCGGCGGTCAATCGCGATACAATTGTCAGTTGGGATCTGGATCTGTGGATCTGTGTGGGGGTCTCTTTGCGGTTCGGTTCGGTTCGGTTCAGCTCGGTTCGGTTTGGTTTCGCTTCGCTTGGGTCCAGTCCAGTCCTCTCAATGCCAACTTTCAAGTTCAATGCGGTGATTTCTGTGCCTGGGGACAGAAATACACACACACACACACACACACACACACACACCATACATTTATGGTGTGGGCGGTAACGTCGTCAAATGAAAAATCGAATTGGGTGTGCGGTTCGGGGAGCTTGAGAGACAGAAACCTTAAGAAAAAACAGAAAAAAGGGGCAAAACAGAAAGGGCGACCCTTTCATCTGTGTGGTCCCTATGGCACTGACTTGGATTTGAACCGCTCCATTTGGCCTCCTGTGCTGGTAGTATTTCCACTGATTTCTAACCACTTCTATCACTTGGCGGCCATCAAAGACGGACTTGCAACTCCCATGCGTCGGATTTCCACTCCGCACATTGATTTGTTTATGCGGTTTTTGGGGTTTGTTTTGTTAGGCCTGACTTATATTAAAGCCTTCTCCTTTTGCGGCGCTGCCCAAATGGAATGCGAATGCCATTAAAATGTGCTTGTTCCCGCATTTACCATTCACCTTGCCGCACCGCGTGGCCTTAACATTTAACGCCACATAAACAGCCTTAATAAACCGTGAAAGCCTCGAGAACTCGCTCGAGAGCATCGTTAGTTTCATGCACAAAGATATATTCTATATACCAATTTTTCTTATAAGGGGGCACCATACTACACACTAACAAAACTTTAGGATTGTATTGAATGGTCACTCTGTTATTTTGATGAAACTATTGATATCACTCTGATATTTTTACGAAAGTATTGAATTGTCGATCTGATATTTTGATGAAAGTATTGAATTGTCACTCGGATATTTTGATAAAAGTATTAAATTGTCGACTTGATATTTTGATAAAAGTGTTAAATTGTCGATTTGATATTTTGATAAAAGTATTGAATTGTCACTGTGATATTTTTACGAAAATGCTTGACAACCTAAGAGTTTTTTCTCGCTGTGTGCTATATGTTTTTGCCACATCACTCGTAAAGCCTTTTAGATGGACCAGCTTACAAGAAATTTGCATTTTGTCGTTCAACCGCCGAGGCAGTGGCGCCTCCACCATTGTCTTCGATGGATTTCACCACTTTCGCTGCTTCCGCTGCCGGAGGGGGGCAACAATGGGTTAAGAGCGGAAGTAGCTGCTCGGCGAAAACGAGAAGTTAATTCGCGGCAATTGTAACACCAACGCCCAGGTGAGAAAACTGTGAAACTGGCGCCGCCGCCAAGGGAGTGACCACAAAAATGCACTCCACTGCAACCGTTGTGGTCAAGTGTCGTAAAGGTTGAACGGACTTGAACTTGCTGGTGGACCGAAAAACTTGTGGTCAGCATGCAGATTTCATGGCCGGTGCGGCATATATTTTGTATTTCTTTTTTGGGGCGCGGTTTAGAAAGTTTCTCCCCCTGCCATCCATGTGGATGTGCCCGAAAAACTGGGGCATGGCATTCACTAGAACTGCAGGCCAGCCGCCATCGAACAAATCTGTAGCAGTCAACCCGCATTGGTTCGCCTTTCACAAAAAAAAAAAAAGTAAAAAAACCAGGTGATGATCGACAGAAGGATGTGGAGTCGGGAGGGAGTTTCCATTGCCTGGCCAAAAGCTGCTGGCCACAGTTCGCCAAAGCCGCAATCCAATAAATAAATCCCCACAGCGCCCCCAGAATTCGCTAGAATAAATAATAACACACTTTACCTTGTCATTCTGCGAATTTGCATTGTACAATTACCATTTGGTGCGGTTGCGCAGTAAGTGATCTTTTAATGTCCATAAATCAGCAATTGTTATGGGCTTAGCCTATTTGTTTAGTTAATAAAACGTTAGGGAATTTGTGAATGTATTTCCTGCATTGGAATTTGGGCTTTCAATTACGAAAATGATCAGGCGCAGTGCACATATTTCTTAAAGAAATAATTATCTGCGTACTAAGACACATATTTATAAGTGTTCAACTGCAGAAATCCAAATAGCTTGGTGTTTCTGTGCTATAAAACCCATAAGTCGTTAAACGGGCAAAAGCAAGTATGCCGCTGTGAGTTTATGAATATTCGAGTCGAATCAAAAACATTCAAATGCATTCGAGCAGAATACCCTTGCTTAATTGCGCACGACTATTAAGTTTGGCTGCATGTTTTCGATAATCAGCATAAAATTTGATTGCATTGTCGGGAGTCAAACACTTGATGCTGATTTGGCTTGGTCTTCAAACTGGCTTTGTGGGTACTGGGTAGATCCACCTATATATACGCATATATATATCCGATATATACGTATACGATGCGTGGTCTCGTCGCCGATCTTAGACACTAAGTAGCCATGTCTGCCGCGCGTTAATCGCTTTTAATTGCTAAATTACGCGCTGCATGGTCGACATTGCGACGAGGCTATGGAGGCTATGTGGATATATATGTGTGTGTATGTAGTATATGGAGTTCTCGAAGTGGAGCTTGGAGTCGCATCCATGGAAGATGGAGCTGAAGCTGGAGCTGGAGATGGAGACACCGGTGCGGCTGTTAACACGCCAAAGAAACGACTTGGGGATGTGGGACTGGCCAACACTAATGCGTGTAATTAGCCGCAAAGAGGGTGGAAGGGGGAGAAAAAAGCGGCAAGACCACTTAACTGATTTATTAAAACGTTTTTCCATTAAATTTTTAACCCTGCCGGCTATTAAAGACACAAACGAACGTAGAAAAGAGGCCGCCACGGATTCCGAAAAGGGCGCGCAGACTTGAAAAATGAGCAGCGTTTAAAATTATTCAGTTGTACGATGGGCAGGTTCCCAATGCTGCCTACATATGTACATATTAAAAATGTTATACAATGTCATATATTATTCATAAAGCACTTGGCTAAGATGGGAAAGTTCTGCCGAACTTTGGGCTAAAACTTGCAGCGCATAAAATGGGAAGTTGTAATTTCACTGAGACCATTTCAAAGCGACCCATGGTAATCCAACAAGTTGGCCGAAAAAATTCAAATGGGCGGTCAGTTGGCAAAACAATTTGACAACGACAATAGCCATGCGGCAAAAGCCAAAGCCAAAGCCAAAACCCAAAACCTAAGACACCCCCTCTTCAAACTTTCTAGCCATAAATGCTCGCTCACGTCGTCAGGCTTTTTGGCCAAAAGGCAAGGGAACGAAATTAATTATGGCCAAGTGCGGCATGGGGCATTGGGCGATGAAAGTGCGATAAAGATGCCAAATTTCTTTTATTAATTTTTAAGCCATTTTTTTAATGTTGCGCTGCGCCAAGTAAGC